TTTACAGTCCCACCAGCAGTGTATGAGAGTCCCAATCTCTCCACAACCTCGCCAGCATTTGTTATTTTCTGTCTTGTTGAACTTTGATACTAGTGAGCAAATAACTTTTTAATTGAGTTGCATGAATATACGTTTTAGAAGCCTGTCATAGGCCAACATCTTGATAGCTCTGTATATACAGATTAAACAGAATATTGATGTAACTGCCTTCTAAAGCCAACAAAAAATTTTTCTCCACACCAATTTTCACTTAAAACATCCAAACAACTCTAATGATACATTAGAGGATGCCAGCCTTTGGAGCTATAAGGATATGGCTTTGATCCTTACTCTCACAATTTACTATCCATGTAACTGTGAGCAAATTAATCGCTTATCTGATGCTAAGTTTGCTCATCTGTAAAAAATGGTTCATACATACTCCATAGAATTATTAAGAGAATTAAATGAGATAATGCATTAATTTAGCACAATGCCTGGCATATATTAAGTGCTCATAAAATGGTAACTTTTGCTATTATCAACAATACTATCATTATCAATCTTGAAACATGCTTAAGTTTGCCTCTTTACCAGTTCTCAAGTCAAACATTTCTAACTTCTCTTTGCTTAATAAGTCTGGGATAGCTAAAGGCCTGAGCAGCCAAAAGCCTGAGATCACAAGATTTGGTCAAGAAGTTATCTTCATTCATGTTCACTGTTATCCTGTTACTTTCATTTTCTCCTAAGAAATATAATGAAACAGAAACCTCTCACTGCATCACAATCTAAATGAGGCTTCACAGACAGAACAAGAAAATTAGAGAAGCCCATGGGTTTAACTGATCTTCCCAGCTGATAGTACACTCTCATTCAAATTTACAATTGCCTTGGAGACCCAAGGAGGGGTCGCTATGAGTCAGATCAGACTTGAGGGCAATGGATTTGGGTTTGTTTGTTTTCTCTTACCGCATAAAATCATAGTCTCCCTTGGTCTAGTATCATTATGTACATGTCTCACATGACTAATGGAGGGCTGAGACCTTATCTTAGTCATGTATGGGTCTCCCACAATTCCTGACAAGGCACCTTACACACAGTAGATATGCAATGAATATTTATTGAATGAATGAATTAGTGAATGGCTGGTCTTTGACAAATATGCTCAATGAAATCATTTTTGTGCCAGTCTTTACAAAGCCTTGAAGCTTTGCAACATTTTGGTCAAAAAATGATTTGGGAACTTGATAATTTCAAGTCCAAACAGCTTTTATAAGCTTCTGTGTGTTTCAAATCCAGGACTGTAAATCCTTATTCTACAAGGAGTCATTAAAGTTATAGATTCTAAAGAAGACCAAGCCTCAGGCAGTAAACACCCTGTGACAGGACTCAAGGAGCTAAAGGAAGAGAAGAAAAGCATCAAGTTCTATGTTCTCATTTGAGCCTCATTCCTGTGGCCCAATTCTTATTTTTCTTTCTATCAGATATTGCAGCAGTCAACAGCTTTGCTAGTCAACTTTGTGGCATGGTTCACACCACAGGTTCCCAATGTTCAGTGGTGAGACTCACCAAAATGTTGGCAAAGGCAACCTCATGGACAGGTTACTCTTGTCCAAAGGTAAAAAAGACAAACATTTTCATTCCATCATTTAAGTGTTAGCAGAAACTTCATTCCCACAACCTAAAATCTAAATTCTCAAAAACCTTTCCTCTCCTGCCCTGCCTTTTCCTTCTTTGTTTGAGTTGCCTGTGCATAGATTAAACCAGCCTGTTCAACTTGAGACTGTTAGGCAGTATGCTATACTGGTTGAGAGTGTAAGCTCTGAAGCCAGAATACCTGGGTCTGAACCCTGCCTTTGCTAGTTGTGTGATCCTGGGCAAGTTACTTAACTGTTCTGTGCCTTAGTTTTTTGATGTCTAAAATGAAAACAACAACAGCACTTACTTCAAAGAGTTGTTGTGAGAAATAAATTAATTCATAAAGGGTTTAAATCAATGCCTGGTGCATAGTAAGAGTTTAATAAATCATAGCAACCCTATGTACAACAGAAAAAAAACACTGCCTGGTCCTGTGCCAGCCTCACAATCCTTGCTATACCTGAGCCCATCATTGCAGCCACTGTGTCAATCTATCTCATTGAGGGTCTTCCCCTTTTTCACTGACCCTCCACTTTACCAAGTATGATATCCTTCTCCAGGGAATGTTCCCTTCTCACAGCATGACCAAAGTAGGTGAGACAAAGCCTGGCCATTCTCACTTCCAAGGAGCATTCTGGCTGCATTTCTTCCAGGACAGATTTGTTCATTCTTCTGGCAGTCCATGGTATTTTCAGTATTCTTTGCCAACACCATAATTCAAAGGCATCGACTCTTCTTTGGTCTTCCGTATTCATTGTCCAGCTTTCACATGCGTATGAGGCAATTGAAAATACCATGGCTTGGGTTAGGCTCACCTTGCTTCAAAATGACATCTTTGCTTCTTAACATTTTATAATAACACTTTATAATAAATATTGGCATTATTTTTGTCAGGAGGATGCCCAGACTCTATCTCATTTATTTTGGACATATCATCAGAAGGGAATAATCGCTGGAGAAGAACATCATGCTTGTTAACATAGAGAGTCAAAGAAAAAGAGACCCTCAATGATAACTGACACAGTGGCTGCAAGACTGGGTTCATACATAGTAACAATTGTGAAGACAGAGCAGGACTGGAAAACATTTCATTCTATTATATATAAGGTTGTTATAAGTCAGAGAGAACAGCACCTAACAACAACAGTAACAATACCACTTACTGTTGTGGTTATCAGGCAACTATTTAGTTCTCACTCTACCTTTCACCTGAAATTAATACTAAGTGGATGGCTAGAAAGTGTTTTACCACCTAAATGACCTAAAACCATGTCTCATACCTGGCAGCTGCTTCTCTCTTCCCATCTTCTAGTGTCCTCCAATGAATGTGATCACCGAAACCTGCAAGGAAAGAACCTTATAAACACACAACCACCATCGGGCACAGACCCAAAAATAAGTGTGGCATGTTCACAAGGTACCCACAAAAAAGGTATCCTCTATCAAGAAACTTTTGTTCAGATTCCAGCTCCAACACTTTTTAGGTGTGTGTGACATTGGACAATCTTTTTCGTAACTGTAAAATGGAGATAATGCCACTTTATTCACAGTTTTTATGGAGATTTAATGAAACAATGGATGTGAAACGCTGTGTGGACTATCAAAGACTCCCAGTACTGCTATAAGAACAAATGAGAATTTTCTACAAGTTCAACATGACATAGGTGTCACAACAAATCATTGCTAGTCAGAGGCAATACAGCTTTAGAGTCAGAGAGACATGGACCCATGACTCCACTTCCTATTAAGTGTGGGGCTTTGTATGAGTGCAGTAAGCACCTGAAGTCTCAATTTCTTCATCTACAAAGTTGAGATAATATACCTACCTCAGTCTTAGTGTAAAGATTAAATGAGATCATGTATATAAAGCTACTGTGAGGCCTACCAGGTAAACAATTACACCAGATAGGTACACTCCTTAAAATAATCAACCATAGGAGATAAGAAGGACAGCATTTGCACAGATATCTCAGAGGGCAAGAATGAACAGGAGAGAAGGACACAGGGAAGCAGTAACCACAGGAGGGATGTGGGAAGAGAGCTGTTACATTATGGGGATTGCAATCAATGTCATGAAATAAAATGTGTATGAACTGTTGAATGGAAAATGCATTTGCTCTGTAAACTTTCACCCAAATCACCATTTAAAATAAATAAAGCTACTGTTACCATTCTCCACACTTCAGACAGAGCAAATCTTTTTAAATCATGTCACTGCTGTGTATAAATCTTCCAGACGCTTCTCAATGCTTTAACAGTATAGTTCAAATTCTTACAGTGGGGCTTACAAAGCCTTTCATAGTATGGCAACTGTCTAGTTCTCCAGCCTCATCACCATACTTTCCCTAAAATCCTACACATGAAACCATTTTCATTTCCTGAAACACAGCACATACTTTGTCCCCTCCAGACCTTCATAATCACTGCTACATGTGCCTTTCCTCCCCACCCTCATCACCAACTCATTCTTCAGATATCAGCCTAGGGGGCATTTCTTCTGGTAAATCTTCCCTAATTCTTAAATTATCCCATTCTTTGTTCCATCACAGCACTTTCCAGGCTTAAGGGGAGTTTCCTAAGGGATGGATCACACATTTGTCTTGTTCCCTCCTCATTTCCTAGCATTTAGCACATGGCCATAGTAGGTATTCAGTAAAGTATTTATTTATATAATGAATCATATTAGGCCACCTCACATAAAGTACATTAATTTTATATCTGGAAAATGTTAGTGATCATAATGTTAAGGAGCTCTGGTGGTATAGTGCCTAAGGCATCTGATTGCTACCCAGAAGGCTGGAGATTCAAACCCACTAGCTGCTCTGCAGAAGGAAGATGGGGCAATGTACTTTGATAAAGATTTACCACCTCAGAAACCCAGTGGGAGTCACTATGAGTCGGAATCAACTCAATGTGAGCTGTTATTTATTGACTAACATGTGCCAGGCCTGCTACCTACGTGTGCAATTTCATTTAAATTTGGCCTTAACAATAACCCACTTTTACTTAATGTCTGTATGGTTCAGTTTCTTTATCCTTAAAACAGG